CCCTGTCTGCTCCTCACAGCAGCTCCTCGCGAGCAGTTGCACGTCGCTTGACTAATCAGAGCACACTGGGCTCACAGGGGGGGGGCGAGCTCCAACAATCCGTTTAGGACAGAGAGTGAACACCAGGGTTTTCAGCACGAGGAGTGAGATGGGGTGGGTCTTAACGGAATACACGAGAGAGAGAAGTCATAACAAGTGGTACAGGACAGGTAGACAACGTGTTTTTCGGATGGAAAATAAGCCAAAGGCGAAAACGCAGTTGGATGCACTTCAACCAAAACCCAGGCAGTGATAAAGCGCACCATTTGTAAAGGCAAAATATCCTTTAAAGCAGGGTCAACAAATAATCTCCATCGCCACTTAAAAACACAGTATCTAATATTAAGAGTTGCATGAATTTCATTCAAGGCAAGGCAACTTTACTTAACACAGACAGAGGGTAAATTCAAAGTACATTCACAGACATGAATATGGCGCCACCTTGTGTCATGTTTACAATGCAGATTATTGACATTAGGTCTGGCAATGCAGTCAATAATTATCCTGGTGATTATTTCGCAGATAAACCTAGTAACCCCGCCCCCTTTGAAAAAACGGCTCTTTTGAACGGCTCTTTGAAAGGAACGGAGCCATAAGATCCGGCTCCCTTCAAAGAGCCATAAATCCCATCACTATCGGCAACTATAGATGCCGTTTTCGCGGGCTTCAGCCGCGCCGTATGTAAATGTGACATGAGCGAAGCAGACCCGGCGCCAGAACAAATCATGTGCTGCGGGCCAGCGGCACAATATCAAACAGCAAGGCCAAAAGCATTGCGTAAAGACGCACACTTATCACAAATACATATAACACTTTTGAAACATTGTGTGCGCTGCACAAACACTGGTAAATCACGAGCAAGGCACACTGGTTAAGGATGGTACCTTCCTCAGGAAAGAAATATAGAGACGGAGACGATGAACTGTTTAGCCCGCCTTGAGCATGGTTTATTTTCCTGTGCACTGCACATGCTGTGGAGTGAATCGTGGTCACCTCTAAGAGGGAGTTGGTTGACAGCTAAAAAAGCTATAATATCAATGACACGTGATAGCGGTTCCGTGCCAGCTGATTTGCACCAAAGTACTAATTTAGAAAATGCACATGTTTTTATCATGCGTTAAAAAAGTCTCTCTATGCTCTCCCACTAGCCGAAGCAAACGGAAAGGAGCATAAATGCATCATCATGTAACTCAATGGAACCCTCCATTAACGTTAGCTGTTAGCTCTGTTATTTAGCTAGCTAGTGGTCCAGGGAAAGTGCTGCCCTCCTGCTAACAGCTCAAACTAACTAATACCAAACGATTGACTCTACAATTGACTTTACACAATCAAGTTAATAGTCATACACAAATTAAACATATCCACAACTGAGTTACTGCTAGCTTAACATGTGGCACGCTAGAGCCATTTCTGCCATAGATATTAAAAGTTACCACAAGCAAGTTTGGGATTACACACCCTGATGCATTAGCACACAGGCAATAAAGAGTGGTAATCTCGGGGGTACAGGGACCCCTAAGGGTACTTGATGGGATTGCACCGGGTCTGTAGAAAGATTAGGGATTGCAAATTATTTCCTAAAAATAAAATGAAATCAATTTTCATAAACCTGGTGTCCGTGATCCAGTTAGGCGCCCGTGAGTAACAGTTCTTCCCAGAGATTGTAACACCACTGTAGTGCTTATAGCCAGGGGTGCACATAACTGGTACGCAGGTACGCATGCGCGGCAACAATCCGAAATGCGTACCGTCTCTTGTGTCACAAAGCGCATTTGCATACCGACGTACTTGTGAAGCTTTTCCAGAAGGCGGTTAGATCACCGGACGACAGAGTCGGTCTCCATATGCGCAGACAGGGCTGCTGTTAACGTCGGTCTGTACAACGGAATAGTGCCAAAACTACGCCAACCGGCTGCGGAGGGAGACTCCCCCCCTTCACTGGAGAACTGCGCTAAAACAGCTGATCACAACGGCCACGCGCTGTGGTCATGGAGTACTCCACTAGCCCCCCCCCCTTGACGTTCGCGATACAGAGGGCTTCATCAAATAACTTTTAGTGGAGCCAGAAGTTGGAGTACCAAACACTGACTCCAGGTACTCATCTGAGTACCTCACTGAGAAAGTTATGTGCACCCCTGGATATAACCAATTATTAGATAGTGGATCTTCTTGAAGATGTATTGATGTGATTTAATTATAATAAACAAATGAAACGGATGCCCAAATAACAACATAACCTGAATTGATGCCATGGCAGGTGTGGCCATTTCAAATGGCCTTTTCTGAGTAGAGATCAAAGTAGTCATGCTAGGCCAGGGCATCTTTGTTGTTTCTATTATGTATATAATTTCCATTTTTCATTTAGCTCCTTCTGAATTCAGCGTTTGAGTTTGAATAAATTGGTTGTCTGCCATGTTTTTTGTTTTCATGCAGGGTATGTGGACGATCACGTGACATGGACGCTGGCCAATAGAAATCAATAGGGGGAAAGACGTAGGCCGTGGCCGTTTTTCAATGTCGAGTACACCTGCTGCAGAGCCATTATTTCAAATATACTACGTCATCGAGTCGCGCCGAATGCTGGGCATTTAACATGCATTTAAACAGTCCTTCGGTGCCACTCAATGACGTAGTATACTTGAAATAGTGGCTCTGCAGCAGGTTTACTCGACATTGAGAAACGGCCCGTGTCTCAATTCAGGGGCTGCATCCTTCGGAGGACGCAGCCTACGCGGTCCACGAAGGATGCAGCCCACGTAGACCGGGTAGGCTGGACCGAGCGTCGTACGAAATGAGATGGTCCAGCCTACGGAGCAGGGTATGCGGTTGTATCGTTGTTTTCTATTTTTACTGCTTTAAATAACTTCAGAACGACTGACTTTAAATATCTGGTATTCTGGTTTAAATATTAGATCATTAGTATTATTTTAATATTTTTGGTAATTTTTCTGGGGTCGTGCGATGTATGGGACACAGTTCTTTGGCTTTAAAAATCTTTAGAATTAAATAAATAATTGATCAATTATGATTGTACACACTGTGGGGACTTGATCAACTCCAACAGGGCCTTACTGGGGTGAGAGTGTCTACTGATAAATGGCCGAAACACTCAATGATCTCTAGATCCACTATTGAGGATGTGTCGATTTTGATATTGTTTGGTTAGCTTTTAATAGGTTTAAATGTTATTTAATATTATTTTAGGGTTGGAATATTTAATAAATTGTTATAAGGACTAGTTTGGGTTTTTCAGACTTTCTAAATAATTAGGGTTTTAACATCATTCTGACTGGACTGACTGTTCTATACGTTTTGTTATTTTTCCTGAGTCTATATACCCCGGAATTAGATTAGATATTTAGATAATAGGAGTAATCTACTTTTTATATAACTTATCTTTCCACTTTTGTGACAACCCCTCCACACCACTAGGCGTTCCGTGGCCTCTCTGTCTCTCTGTTACAGGATCCGGTGCTGTGGGGCCGGCAATTGCCTGATGAGTTACACCTGCCGGATGAGCTACACCTGCTGGAAGCCTACAAGGGGAGCCAAGCCGGATACATCGCTCTCTCAATCCTCTGGGCACTCTCTCCGGATTTCGCACAGCTGTTGTCGCTGAGTGCAGCG